CTGAGAACAGACCTTTAAAGGGAGCTGGTGGATGAGAGGCACAGGACCCAATTTGAGACTGTAGAATGCAACACGGATTCAAAGAGCAGAAAGGGGTATGGAGACCTCAGTGTGTGCTGGCAGCAGAGACAGGAAGTGAGTGGACCCTACATTACCTGCAAGGGGAACTTGATTGTCAGTGAGGGAGAGGGAGGTGCCACAATATCTTGCCACTGTCTGTCTTGCTAAACTAGCTGAATGATGATACCATTCATAGAGCCCATAGCACAGGAAATGTCCAAGTTTGGAAGGAGAATTGTGAGGAAGTGCTTCTGAGATCCAGGTGGGCATGCTGGGTACGGCTTTGGTTTAAATATTGTGCTGCAACTCAATGTTACATTAACTCAATACTGAATCATCTCAAAAATCTCTTACTGAGGGACTAAATGTTGGGTCTTACAAAATGTTGACATTTTATGATAAGAGTATGTGGTTAAATTGTTAGAATTTTACTTGTAATTTCCAAGCAGTAGGAGAAAGCTACAGATTTGGTTCCCACACGGAATCGTTCAACATACCCTTCAGAACATCTTTGTGAACATGTTGGTATGAATGAGTTATGAGAATTGCTGTCTCAGGAAACTTTTCCTGAAAAGGTTCTCAGGAAATAGGGAAACAGGGAAGGGAATGATGTGCTTTTAACCAGACCCTGCACTAGGATGGTGCACACACCACTGAGAGAAGAGCAGGAGAATCATCAAATGGTGAATGGTGATACAGAAAATCAAATCAAATTAATATATCAAGAATATTGAAGAATTAGAAGAAATGTCCAAATACTCAGAGATGGATATTAAAAGTAATAACAGGTGCTGAAAGTTAGGTACAAATAACTAATTTTCCTTCCATTCTTCCACCTTATCCCTTACTCCCTAGCTGGCCTGATTAGAGGGAAGGAAGCTCCCTTCTCCCCAAACTCCTTTTTGTCTCAGGCATTCACCTGTGAGTCAGCCTAGACAAGGTCAATAAAAGGAAATGGAGGGGCAGGAATGTGCTCCCATCACTTTTGGGGACCTGAGCCAAGGGAAACAGGAAGTAGTATGTTTTTTTTTAAAATTTCTATTACGTATGCACAGAGCCCCAAGAGAAAAATGCAATTTGGTAGTGATCTGATAACCACATTCTTGAAGCCTTGTTCCAAGAATGGTAAAAATCCAAACAATGCTGCGGGAAGGGAGAAGGTGGAGAGGTAGAGAAAAACAAAACACAATTTCCATTGTAAATGATTGTCTATGACTAAATTCAAGTTAATATCTAACTAAAAGGTGGAAATTTTTAGACTATCTACAAGGGATAACTTGTTTTATGTAGAAATAATTTTTATATATTGAAAGTTTAGCAATTATTGTTAAAATATCAAATAAGTGTTTCAAAGTTTTATTGACAATGTACCTTACTAAGGCCAAAAGTTGATGTAGGTAACACTTGAGTTTGGCTGGTTGGGCTTGGTTGGATTACAAGATGACTGGGACTAGGAGAGGAAAGGGGTCAGCTGTCAGAGACTTCTCCCCTCCAGTGGGTTAGGGTATAGTCAATTGCCTGGGCACATACCAGGGAAACTTCAAGGTATGTCTGTGAATTCTGATGCAAATGTTGGGTCTCTTGATTGGTACTTGTTTGCTGAAATATCTTTTTGAAGTCCTACCATGATTTTGTTTTTCAATATACATATCCAATTGTATCAGGGCATTTTAATTTTGAGTACTCAAAAAAAAAAAAAAAAAAAAAAACAAGAATGAGCTAGAATCCCCTTAGTCATGTCTCCTTTTCCATGCTCATTACACCCATATTGAGAGTTAAACTCATTAGAACTATGTGTTATCAGTTATGAAGATATTTAACAAACTTAAATTGCTTTTAGTAAGTGATAATATTCTAAAAGATTATGATTTTTTAAAAAACATAGCAAGGATTTATTGTTCTTGTCTAAAGTTTGCTGGTTACTCTTTCCCAATTTAGGGTAAGGCAATGTCATCAAGCTCCAAAAAATATCACTCTGTCCCTTCAGGACCTTCAGCCTTCATTTACTCATTCATGGATTTACACACTCATGAATTCATTCTTTTGGCATGATTAAGCACTATCGTGTGGACTATGATGATTCTGCTGGGTCCTGAGGATGTATACTTGAAATAATCTAATAAAAGAGGTGAAAGATCTCTACAATGAAAACTACAGAACACTGAAGAAAGAAATTGAAGAAGACCTTAGAAGATGGAAAGATCTCATATGCTCCTAAATAGGCAGAATTAATATTGTCAAAATGGCCACACTACCAAAAGCATTATACAGAATTAATGTAATTCCTATCAAAATCCCAATGACGTTCTTCATAGAACCAGAAAAAACAACCATGAAATTCATTTGGAAAAATAAGAGACCCAGAATAGCCAAAGCAATCCTTAGCAAGAAAAGTGAAGAAGGAGGCATCACATACAAGACCTTGAACTATACTACAAAGGTACAGTAACAAAAATAGCATGGTATTGGCACCAAAACAGACATGTAGGCCAATGGTGCAGAATAGAAGACACAGAGATAAAACCACACACATACAGTTATCTCATCCTGGACAAAGTTACCAAAAACATTCACTGAAGAAAAGAAAGCCTATTCAACAAATGGTGCTGGGAACAATGGAAAGCCACATGTAACAAAATGAAATTAATCCTCTCTCTCACCCTGCACAAAACTCAACTCAAAGTGGATCAAAGCCTTAGGCACTAGAACAGAGACCCTGCACTAACTAGAAGTAAAGTAGGCCCAAATCTTCACCATTGGACTAGGATCTGACTTCCTTAACATGACCCCTAAAGCACAAGTAGTAAAATCAAGAATCAATAAATGGGATGGGTTCAAACTAAAAAGCTTCTTCTCAGCAAAAGAAATAATCAATAATGTGAAGAGAGAGCCTCCAGATTGGGAGAAAATCTTTACCACATTCACCCCAGTTAGAGCATTAATCTCTAGGCTATAAAAAGAACTCAAAACACACACACACACACACACACACACACACACACACACAAACCCACCAAATAACCCAATCAACAAATGGGCTAAGGATCTAAATAGACACTTCACAGAAAAAGAGATACAATTGATCAAAAATGAAAAAATATTCAACATCCCTAGCAATTAGACAAATGCAAGTCAAAACTAAGAGTTCATCTCACTCCAGTCAGAATGGCGATCATTAAGAATACAGGCAACAATAAATGTTGGCAGGATGTGGGGAAAAGGTACACTCATATGTTGCTGGTGGAACTGCAAATTGGTGCAACCACTATGGAAGGTGGTATCTAGATTCCTCAGAAAACTTGGAATGGAACCACCATTTGATCCAGCTATCCCACTCCTTGGTTTAGACCCAAAGGACTTAAAATTAACCTTTTATAGTGACTTGGCCACAAAAATTTTTATAGAAGCTCAATTCACAATAGCTAAGCTATGGAACCAACCTAGGTACCCTTCAGTAGATGAATGGATAAAGAAAATGTGACATATTTATTCAATGGAATATTACTCAGCTTTAAAGAATTAAATTATGGTATTTGCTAGTGAATGGATGGAGTTGGAGAATATTATGCTAAGTGAAATTAGCCAATTTCAAAAAACCAAAGGCTGAATGTTTTCTTTGAAATGTGGATGCTAATTCACAAAAAGGGGATGGAGGCCCTTGGGAAAAATAGAGTTACTTTAGGTAGAGGGGAGTGAAGGGAGAGGATGAGATAGGAGGATAAGAAGGATAGTAGAATGAAACAGACATTATTACCTTATGTATGTTATGATCTGAATTAATCAATACAATTAAGAAGTTATAGATTATAGATTTAAAAATATAGATTAATAAAATAGTAAATATAGCCATAGTAACTCCATTATGGTTCTCATGTGAGACTGTTATATAAGCTGTTTTTTAAAAAGTATTAAAAATTTGTTTTTCTGTGCTTCATACATCTGTAAACGTACTCCAACCCAAGATGTACAACCACAACTGTGCTTGAACCCAGGATGTGGTTGTCTGATTCTGCTCTGCTACTGTTTTTCTCAGCCCTTGAATCCTGCTTGCTTGCAATTTGCAGATTCCATAGGATGTGGATTTATTCCTTAATATTGGAACCTCAGACAGCCCAGTACACTTCTATCAGAAGGCTGTTTGGACATGGCAGAAGCATCTTTGGCCAGGATAATATAGGTACAGTAAAATTCTTTGATTTGTTTAAAATTTGGACTTAGTGTGTCTTCTGAGTGGTTGCCCCATAAAAATGTAAGTATATGACTGCATGACCAATGTGACTCTACACCATCAAAAAATGAGAAATTATACCCCATTTATGTATGACATATCAAAGTGCATAAATGAATTCTACCGTAATTAGAACAAATAAAAAATTATAAAGAAAAAAGGTGTTTGGAAGACCCCACTCTAATTTAGAGGACTCCACTCTCATGGGGAACAGACCTCATCCCACCCAGGTCCCAATCTCATGGGAGCACAGAGGTGGGGTTCTTGACCTCTGACTGCAAGGTTAGGAAGGATGTTTCAAATACAGCAACAGGCAGCGAGGCAGGATGAGGAGGTCAAGCCCTAGGGGAAGGCTATGCTGGGCAAAAGGAACACCCTGTACAAATACAGGGTGAAAGAGGGCTTCTCTGGCTTACAGTTCACTCCAATAATGCAAAACTTGTTTGTTTGTTTTTTTAAACTTAAATGGGGTAAATGCCCACACTTGGGAAGGGGCCTTTTTGGCCTGAATGTTTGCAATAAATGTTATCATTTACTTCTGTGTACAATCCACAGTCACCACCTGGTAACTTTCACATTATTTTTGGGGAAAACTTTTTAAAACCGAATCAACAGGAGAATACAGAGCCAAGGCTGAAATAAGCTTTAACATCCCTCTTCAAAGGAGGGGCGGGAGTCTGCGAACCCTTGGCCTAGGACCACATGCTCGCACCTCTCACAAGTGACCCTGATGCGCTCGTCATTGGACGACTGCTGCTCGTCCTCCTTCTCCTGGAAGTGCTCCTGCACGCACTGCTCCTCGAACTCGTGCAGCCTCTTCAGTTCCTCCTCGCTGAGGAAGAGCTCTGCATAAAGGGAGAAGTGTTGGCCACGTGAAAACCAAGCCAGATCCCTGAAGAATCATTTTAGTTGCATCACTGCGAATTTCATAACACAACTTTAAGTAAGCTCCCTTGTAGGTAGTTCTCTGACTCTTCCAATTGATTGTTAGCTAAGGGGGTGGGGCTGTCATGTGTAGTAATGGTCTTTCTACTGGAGCAAAATGATAACTTTTTGGTAAAAAAAGAAAGAAAACAAACAGCCCTGATTACATCTATTAAGAAAGCAAAATGAAGTAATATTTCTCAGCAAATCTTTTGCATGTCTTTTATGAAAAAGTGTATAGCATTATTTTCTCATCATCTTTAGATGCAACAAATTAAAACATTTTGAAAGGAACACTGAATGCATATATACATGTATATAGAAGAGATATTTTTAAAAACTCTCAGCTTATCTCCATGAGAAGACTTTCAGCAACATGAAAATTACTAATAAATGAACAACAATAGAAAAAAAAAATCAACAGAAAACAAGAAGCGTTCTGAAAAGCACAGCAGTTGGTTTGTTGTGTTTTTCACACATGTAAATAGTTTAGTGGGAGTTTCTATGTTGGTGTCCAGTGGAAAGAGTTTTTTAAAAATAAACCCAAAATAGAAATGGAAAGTCCTGAACATACTTAGTCCACGGTCCCGTTCTTCCTGGTCCCCTTCTCTTTTTTTCCTGCAGTGACCACTGAGACGCATAATGATTATGTAGATATGGCTTAAAATAATCATTGGAGGGGGTAGGACAGGCCTGTCATGAAATGTCATAATCAGCTGATATCGCTGGAACTTCCACACTTGGTTGGATATTGACTTTACTTCAAAGAAGGTATTGCTTTTAAAAGAAAACATGTTACGTATTACTTTTTATTGTGATTTCCCAAAGCAATCAGTTACTGACATTGAAATTAAAATACACAATGAAATGGCTTTTAGTGTTAGTTGATTCCTTGATTATCTAATTTTTTGGTTTATCTATCAATGTTTGTTTGGCTTATCTATCAATCTATTATTTACACTTAATGATATTTTACTCATATAGACAATTAACAATTAAGTGTATTAAATTGCTGCCCCCTGCTTTCTTGCATAAACCACACCATAGTCTATGCCGAGGAAATTTTGAGAAATATAAACTTTTTTAATCAAACAACTAAATGATGACTTTTATTTGTTGATAACTGAATCAACTATTGAACTTATTTGATTCAAGGCATGTTATTTAGGATGTGGGATAGGTACAAACTTTATTTTGTTTTAGCTTCCAATGGGAGATCATAAGCACAGGATTGTAGGGTCTTCCAATACTGGGACTTTAGAAAAGCCAGTTACTGTCTTGTGACCTTAGTTTTCTCATCTCTCAAGCCAGGCATTAGGACCAGGTTCTCTTCTGTTTAGTTTTAAGATTTAAATTTCCATGAAGTATTTTTCCCTCATATTTTTCATCTTAGAAGTGAAAATAATTTTTCAAGTTATTAAGCATTGTCAACATATTCATCATATAATGCCAGGTGGGCAAATTTTATAAGAAGCTTGATTCAGTAACTTAAACCATTTTTCTTAGACCATTTATTCTGCAAATAATAAGAATATATGTTATAGTAATTGTAGCAGTGTCTGAAATTAGTTTTGCTTTCTGTGTCTCTTATCATGAATGAAAAGCACAACTTGACCAAATCTCTCAGGGAACTTTTGCCTAAGAAAACATTTTGATTAGATTAAAATACTACAGTGTTAAATTACGAATCAAGATTAAATTTAAGTGTATTTAAGTGCCAACTCTTGATTTATGAATACATTAGACTGATTAAAGTTGAATCAAAAAGACTACAACCATTCTATTCATATGAAAGCCCTAATGAGCTTCTTTGCAAATACCTGGTACATGGGTGATTTCTGAGATTAAACCAAAAATTTAAAAGGCAATAAATGTAAGGGCATGGTCATCAGCCATGACACGTACTTGAAAACAGCGATCAGCAGGTTAACCAGCAGGATGTTGGCTACTAGTAGATAGCATGCCATGAGAGCAGGTGTGAGCCAGGCCCCTGGGATGCAGGGAGGGAGCCTCTTGCCATCCTCGTCATAGAGGTTTTCACCACAAGGAGCTGAAAGAAATGTTTGCGTTTGTGTGCTTGCTTTTTACATATAATAAGAAAATAATAATATCCATAACATGCAATTAGATAGCCTCTTTCCTTTTTAATATGATTTTTCTTATTTCTTGTACAGTAATTTTCCAGTAAAAAATAAATACAAAGAAGGAAAGAAAACTCATATCTGCACACAGAGGTAGTCAATTTTAGTTTGTCGTATTTATAAACATTTCCCATTTCTTTATTTTTTTAACACAAAAGTTCTTAATGATTAAACAGACAAATCCATCTTTATGATGTCATCCAAATAGTTATCTACTAGAAAGTTGTCATGTCTTCTAAGTATTTAACATGAACTTATGTTGTATTCTGGTTCTTTTTTGATTATATTTGTACATTAACTTTGAAAATAACTTCATTCTAGAATGTGGGGTAAGGAACCCACTAACCTCTCAAATCAACTATTCTGGGACCACATATGAAAAATAATCTTTTATTTCTGTGCTCATTTGAAATGCCACCTTTATCATAGGAGATCTGTTTCTCAGAGGGGAAAAATAGGATAATCCCAATGTTGAATTTATACTTTGTTCATTTTTAACTTTCATTTTAAAAAATCATTATCACCAGGAAACTAAAGATATATTTGAAAACAGTATAAGAATATCAGTAATCAGGTAATGAAAAAGCTGTTTAGTAAACACATTTCATGAATTCAGATCATCAATTGCACGTAAACTTACGATTAATTTCCATGGCGTAGACTATACAATGATTGGAAAGCAGGAGTTTGTTTTGTTTTTTAGTTGTGACAGGAGGGGAGGAAAGAAAACAAGATGATAGTTGAGAGAAAAGTAAAGCATAATAACTGTTTTGCTGTCAAGAAATGCAGATATTTCAAGCTTGGAAATTATGGATTTTCTCTTGGAAATTGCTCTGTTTAGAAAAATTGTACACATTATTAATTCTAAAAAATGCATTTTATGAATATTTATTTTACCATATGACATATGCAACAGCAAAAGCTCACTACTTAAACATACTATGAAAAAGACATAATGTTATTGGCAGATGATCATTTTATCTTACTGGTCAACCAATCAAACATTTCCTGTATTCCAATACAAGCACCTCATAAGCACAAATCATGTTATACAAGAATTATTATGTAATGGATCAAGAATTGAAAACCTACATTTAATGGTATTACTGAAAATAATATAGCTCTAAATTTACTTCGTTATCTCCACTCATTACTCAATTTAATTTTAAAAACTGAACAATGAAAACATTGTAGCTTGTGTCTGGAGTCCAGAAAGTTTTAAGAAATATGCACATTTACTTACTCTAATAATCTCTCAAAACTAATTAGATTTTTATGTTCTAGTTTATCAAGTTACAAACACATCCAATAGTTGATTTTGTGATATTTGTAATAATAATGTGTTCAGAATCATGTTATACAAGATAGAAAGAATAAACTGAGTCACATTGTTATCTGTCTAACATAGTGGCAGTATATCTATTGACAACCTGTTTTTCACATAAGAGACAGATATCTGAAACTTTCTGTTCACATACAGCAGAACTTCAAAAGCATCAGACATACTATTATATTGCTTCATGGTAAAATACAACTTGTAGATGAAAACATTGGTACTGACATGAAAATAAGACTAAAGCACCTTGTTCACTGGTGAAGACTTAACCGTCCTGATGAAATTGGTATAAGAACATTTGAACTTTATGTCCCTACAACTCAGGAGACGCTGACCTAACAATTCAGCCTGCAGAGGTGCTGGTCTATATTCCCCAGAAGTCAGTGGAGGATTGTGACTCATTTGCTCTAGTACCATCCAGGTTACTGTTGACAATAAAAATAGCACTCCTGTATATAGGTATTGAATTATCACACTGTACCCCATAAATATGTAAAATAAATTGTCAGTTAAAAGATAAATACATTAAGAAGTTAAAGAACAAGACCAGTAGTGAAGAAGAAATGGATCGCTATATAGAAAATGGGCTTTGATGGCTGGAAGAGGAGAATGATGAGAGGCATTAGCTCCCTACCATGCTTTCAGGTTCATTCTACTGAAATAAAACTACCAGCTTCATCCTTGGGGGGAAGACATTGGGATGAAAGAAAACCTGGGATATTGGCATTGGAACTATATTCATGTAGTGTCTTTCAGGGATGTGTTTCCCTTGAAGTAAGTGAGAATCTTTCAGAATTCTAGTGAATGGGTTTTAGAATAAAAGAAATGATTTAGGTCTCAAAAAATCTATATTCCATAAACTGTACTTATTTTTTCATAAGATAATTTGATGCCTATGGCAGAATGAAAAAGAAATGCTTTATTTCCAAATTAATACATAATCTTCAATTAATTTGGATCTGATCATCTGCCTCAGAAGCAGGGAAGAGAATCTTACTATGAATTCTATTCTTACGGTCTATCTGGTCTGCAAACACCTCTCCATAGATCATCCAGTAGGGCATGTAGAAGATGTTTCGGGCCAGTTTCCAAGAAGGTTTCTCTTCTGGGTGCAAAATGGCTTGACGGGCTACTCCAAAACTCATCAGCACGACCAGCATGATGACCACAAAGTAGAGCATGTCAATCATCTGAGTAGGGAGAATGTATGATTCATTACTGCCTTGACTCATGGGCCAAGTTCATACTTGTTCATTGCTCTCTCCAAAGACTCAACAAATGCTTCATTAGGATGGAAAAAGCCTCTTTCCCTTCTTTCCTTCCCAACCATGGGTTACTTGTTTTTTTCTATCCCACACAACATATATACCTTCTTCTAGAATATTAACATCTTTATCAGCTCCTATTCCATCAGACCTCTCCTCTGTTATTGCTCACTGACATAGTTTGGATCTAGAATGTCCCACAAAGGTTCATGTGTTAAATAAAGCCTTGGTCCCCAGTGTGGCATTATTAGGAAATGGTGGAGTTTTTAGGAGGCGGGGGGCCTAGTGGGAGAAAGTTAGGTCATTGGGGCATTCCCTTGAAGGGGATATTGGAACCCAGGCTCTTTCCTTTCTCTTTTTTGCCCCCTGGCTTGTGATTTGGGATTGCCTCACCATGTGTTTGTGCCACTATGTGCTGCTTTGCCCCAGACTCAAAGCACCTGGGCCAATGAATTGTCAGATGATGAGCTAAAATAATTCCTTTCATTTATTGGTTGTATTTCGTTACAGTAATGGAAATATGACTAACACTTCTGTAAACAGATATTCTTATAGCAACTGTAAATGTGAAGAATTGAGAAAAGATGGGAGTTTGTGAGAGAAAACAAGGAGCAAAAGGGAGATATACGTAAGTAGGTAAAAGGATAATTGAGAAATAAATTGAAAGTGTACACCAGTATTTATTCATACATCATACAAATGATGAGTGGCAACAATGAACAATGCTCTGTTTACTGTGGATGCTAAAATGATAGAAATTCTAGTTTTGAACATCCCTGAGGATGAGGGCCCTTGCTGAAATTGTCTAAAAGCCATTCCCCCTATAAAGAGTTATTCCTACACTTAGAAGGCTTCCTTTCTTCTGGTACTAGTGCTAACACTGAGGCTTTTTAGGTAATGTAATGATAACCAGCTGGTTCATGTTTAGTTTCATATTCTATGACTTGTTCAGAGTAAATTTCACAATAAATCTGTCTTGGCCTAATCATGTGAAGTACCTGTGTCTGCTCCATGCTGCTCATGAGCTGGAGATGGTCTGGAGTACAGGTGAGGAAATAGCCCTGGGTCCCTTTTGTTTCTAACTTTTACTACAGATTAGGAGTTTGTCAATCATATTTTTGCCATAAAAACATTCAAGTAGATGCAACCTCATAGAATTATCAAATCCAGTTTCCTATACTAAAGAATGCTAAAAATGTTTCCAGTCATCAAGGTGTAGGGTAAATATTTTGAGATACCTATCTTGCTACTGAATTCTGTTTGCATCAAAACCTGATGCTCTCTCTTGCCCTGGTAAGGTGAAGCAAACTCTTATAAAAGAAGAAGATATTTTCTTTTACTTTACTGTCAAAATGCAATTATTAATAATAAATCAGAAGTAATTTTTTAAAAATGAAAGTAACTGATTATATGAAAGAAAAAAGATGTATGCATTGAGTGCTTGATATATATTGAGAGATGCATGCATATATATGTAGGTGTGTGTGTACAGTAAGCCCTTAGCTCATTTTCACTAGATTTTATTATTATTAATATGTAGGAGAACTGTGTATTTCAAAGCAAAGGTTTCCTATAAGAAACCATCTGCAAAGGAAAATCCAGAAGAAACTGAAGAAAGCCACACCCAAGGCCTGGTCTTTTATCCTAACCACAGTACAAAATATCCCTGGTTACTCATGTGAAATCATTACTAACCATCTTTCCAATCATCATCACGTAGGGCCCCAGATACTTGTTGACACCAAAGATGTCCAAGACACGAATGTACCAGAGGATGATGTCCACACAGTAGATGACCCGACCATAGCCCATGTATGGCTGGTTCTGGAGGCGAAGGATTGCTCCAATCATGAACATGGAAATGGCCACAAGATCAGTGATGTTCCAGTACTCCTGAAGCCACACTTTTATTTTCTGGCTGAGTTTGCCTGGTTCTGACATGAGGATCTGAAAACAAACCGAAAAGAACAATAAACTAAGAGTGCATTGTTGGAAGCCTTGTCTTTTTCAGAATCTTGGAAAGATAAGGTTGGTGGAACATTCCAGGGCATCTGGTCTCTTTTCTGCTCAAGACCTCAGAACACTAATCTTCTCAGGCAGACAGATATCTAGAAAGGGAAATTCCATGGAATCCTCTGTATTCATAGATTCAGGGTTTCATAAACTCTCAGGAAATGCCTTCCAAATTATCTCCTTCTGGCTGTAATTAAAGCAGCTGCCTTTTGATTTCTTTTCTAATTATTGGACACATGCCTGTTGGCCCACATTCCAGACTTATACAAGAGGAAAAGTCTAGAGCAGGAATGAATCCTATGTGGTTACACAGTGGTGTGGGGTGTGTGTGTGTGTGGTGGGGGTGAGATCCACATGGGCAGAATGAGGCTAGGAAATGGTTGATTTGCCAAAATTCCTTTGCAACTTAAATACGACAAGTCAGGGGAAAGTTGAACCAGGTTTTCCCCTACTTGAGATATTATCCTTTCAAAATCACCACTGATTAAAAGGAGACTTCCCCAGAGTAAAATGGAAAATATTTAGCAAGCAGCATGCATGGGCACACAGTGACGCTGCAGTAGGCGGGAGGGCTGCCATGCCAGGGTATCCCTTTAGTTCTGCAGATTGTGGGTAGATTCCAGGGTCTCAGGCCTAGGATGGGGTGATGACTATTGATCTGCCAACATAGAAGGGATTCCCTAGTCTAACAATCCTTTTGTACTGGCTGATGGATGCCTCTCTTTCCTGTAAATGGGAGGCAGGCTTCTGGAATAACATATCTTAGTTCAGGGCTGATGCCCAGCAGGAGCACAATTGCACTAGAGGCCATTCAGGTGGGCCACTTGGAAAGTCCCAGTTGTAGCACACACAAAATTTTAATGGAGCCCAGCTAGAAAAGAAAGAGTAGTTGTAGAAAACTGATTGTACAGTCTTGGATTCAGCACTCTTTTGTTTTCTCAGGCTCTCATTAGACCTGTGACATAAAACTCACTATGCCTGGATGAGGTTAACTGTCATAGTTTTACAGTTCAGTAAAAGGGTCAATAGTAATCACAAAATAATAGTATTGGTTCTGTATTATTTGGAGAAAGGTTAGGAAATTGTGCTGTGTGATTTTTTCAGTTCAAGTTCATGTTTTGCTTGGATACAAGCTTCCTCTTTTGAAATGAATATAGTGAATTCAAACCTGTGGATGATATCAGAAATTACCTGGCCCACATTTCCTGTGCCGCCTGCAGAAGTTGGCTTCTTGGCATTTCATTTTAATTTTAAGTCCTCTGTGATGTAAGATCCAAGTGTAAGACCGTATCTGTTCTATTTTAACACTCAGTTGAAAGTCTTATTCCCTCTGTAACAGATGCTCTGGGCCTTACCGAGATAGATCACCTGGAGATTTTTGCCAGGTGGGTGTGATCATCCCATCTGCTACAGGTGCTGCTGTTAGGCCCATACCTGCCCCCTTATGGGAGGCTTGTTCTTGGGCAATTGTAATCGCCTCTCTGGTGGGTGCCAAAGTCAGACTGATGTGCACACAACACTCCACTCCCTTTTCTCAAGGTGGAACAGATTCTACAGTGTCTAATCATCTCAGATCCGTTGCAGGATTAAGCTGGGGACAGATTCTACTGGAAACCACAGTTCTCTTGATTCCTTTCCTTCCTCTGGCCTGTTTTCCTTGCTCCCTTCATTGAGGGCCCTGCTTTTATACATTCTTGCACCATGCAAGTACACAGTGTGATCCAAATCTCAAATTTAAGGTGACAGAATATGAAGCCAAATGTGTACCCAGTATAGTGATTGGTTTATCTCAAGTAGCTGGCAACATTTGCTTTTGCTTTTGTATGCATTTAGACCTGTTTTTATTATTGAATATAATTTATTTTAGCTTGTGTTTTTATTCACAAGTTCAAGTTCAGTTGGATGGAGAGGATGTACACATTTAAAACAAGTGAATGGAATAAACATGGGATGATGATACTCAAAAGAAAAGAGCCCTGGTACCTATCATTTGCATGAAATGTTTTTCAATAAAACTTGAAATTGGAGCCAGTACTTAGTGTGGCAGAGACAAGCCTTTGGAGTAATCACCTCTCGTATTTTCTCTAATGCCAGGCTCACAATGTAGGAGATGACAATCCATTCCTGGAGAGAGGGCCAGCCGTCCATCCGCACCAGGATGACATAGTTAAACAGAAGTAAATAACCCAAGTATGAAATCTGGAGGAAAGAAAAAGCTGTTAGCAATGTTTGAGGAGAGAATCTTGGAATCGGGTTTTGAAATCTTATTTTTAGCATGGCACATTTTCTGAAGTGAATTTTCAATTTCTAAATGGACTTAGTTATTTAGAGGATACCCCCTCTGCACATCACCAGTATAGATAGAGAGCTTTGAGATAGGTTGGAGGTATTTTATGCTTCAGCATGATATGGGCAATGGCATTTCATTTTCTACATGACAATATATTTATTGGTACTGTCATCCTTATGGGGAAATTATGAAGTTGCAATAATTATGACACACAGGGAAACTTTGAATAGTTTGCTGGTGTCCCTCCTATATTCTTGGAAATTGGAAAATGTTACTTACTCCTCCCGACCTCACGTATTTCCTTCTTGAATCTCTCCATTATTTTTTCCATACTTTCATTGGTACAGTGTAGTTGTACATAATGGTGGGATCTGTTGTTACAGATTTGTATATGAACACAATATAACAATATAATTTGGCCAATATCATTCCCCAGGATTTTCTCTTTCCCTCTCCTCCTTCAGCCCCCGGTCTTTCTCCTCTGCTCTACTGATCTGCCTTCATGAAACTCTCCACTATTGACAGACAGAAGTTAGAAGGGAAGACATGTGAAGAGATCATCTTCCCAGGCCATGGAGCTGACGGACCTAGGAGTCCCCTTGACTACCAGTAACAAATCTGTGATATTTGGTGGCCACCACAGGTTCTCTGTCTTTTTTTTGGCAAGAAAAAAAAGTAGAGTTGGAGGTGAGGGTGAGGCAAGGCATACGGAGTAAGGTACGGGGTGGAAATAGTTTATTTGAAGCTGATTTTCCCAGATTAGTTCACTACCAACCTGGGAAAACTTCAGCTTTGGGGCTCCTCACTGTCACAATCCTTTTCTGAGGTCTTGTAGGAAGAGTCTAGCATTTGTGTATTTGTGATTTGACAGTATTCTTTCCCCAATGATCTGTCCCTCCTGATTCAATAAGTTTTACCAGGATGTAGGTAACATCCCCTGTGTTCACGGGGTTGTGGCTCACTGGATGTGATTCCTGCTAAAACTCATGTTGACCTATGATTCCCAAAAGGTGTTGAGAGGTGGTAGGGCCTACTGAGAGGTTTTTAGGCAATGGGGAGCCCTCATAAATAGATTAATGCCATTTCTCAGGAGGACTGAGTCCTTGCTCTAGTGGAACGGGATTACTTCTTTCAGGAATGGATTTGTTTTGGTGATAATGGGTTGTTTTAAAACAGGTCAGCTCCTTTGCCCTTCCCTTTCTATTGCACATGGCTGCTTGCCCTTTGGCTTTGCATCATGAGTTGAACTACTGTGAAACCCTCCTCCAAGGACATCATGCCAGTGCCATGCTCTTGGACTTCTAGAACTATAGCCAAAACAATCTCTTTTCCTTATAATTACCCAGTATCAAGTGCTCTGTTACAGCAATGTAAAATAGACAAAGACAAATATTTCCTCCTTACAGGAGGATTAGAGCCAAAGTTCTCAATCTTTGGGCTATGTTAGAATACCCCAGAAACTGTACATCTCTCTTACATCCAGAGAGAGCATCAAGACTGTCTGTATGAGGCCTAAGGTTGAAAAGCCTGTCAGACTCCTGGCCTTGCCCTCCCTCAGTGCTGAGCAGTACTTTAGGTTGTATAAACCCCAGATTCTCAACTGATTCTGACCAGAAACTGAGGGTAGCCTTGGCTTCAGCTGCATCCTCAGATAGGGCTTCCAAGAGGTTGGTTGTGCAGACCCATAGTTGATTTCCAGGGCAAACCCCTTCTCTCCTCTGCCCTCTGCCCATCTTTATCCATTGTCCCATCCATGACCTTGTCCTATCACCTGCTCCTAGCCCAATGACTAATGGAATCACAGTGCCATGGCCACACTGCTGTGTACTGTGGCTCGGTGCTTGGGATTTCATGAAAAATACTGTCCTTCCTCCAAACTGATATGGATACCCAAGCCACAGTGTGTCTGGTCAACTCTGCTGGACTGCCTGCAGATAGCCAGTTTCACTCACAGGTGCTTCCTTCTACTCCCACTTCCTCTTCTGCTCTTGTTAGCAGAAAGCCACACTCAGAGCAGTGGAGACCTGGACACTAGAGAGTGTGCTGCCAAATGAGTCAGTTTGGTGAACACTTTAGAGAGGTCTTGATTTGCTTCCCTATCCTAGGAGTTTATGATCTGGGCTCAGCCATACCCTTCTAATAATCCCACCTGTTCAGTGAAAAATGAAAAATTAGATTTCCCTAAGTTTCTATTACTAAATATTTTTTTTTAAAAAAATCATTTTAAGCAAATAGAATGTGACTAATTTGTTTTATTTGTTTGTTTGTTTATTTATTTACTATGGTTCTGGGGTTTAAACCCAGGGTCTTACACATGCTGGTTGAACATTCTACCACTGAGTCATATCCACAGTTTGACTATTTTGCTTTATGAAATGTTATATTTTGGGAAAGGTTGGTCATATTTCTATATATATATATATAAAATATATGACAGGGTATCTGGATTCAATTTTAGTTAAAGCTCTCAATTAGTACTGTTTTTTTTTAAGAATTCATTTCAGTTCAGTAAATTTTTAGACACAATTTTAAGCCTTTGAAGATTTTGTTGTTACCAACATATCTTGATATTCAAAACAGGCTAAATGGTAAATGCTAAGGAGGTAGGCTTACTGTGTAAAACCAGAACTTAACAATGGGAGCGTTATAGAATTCACAGATCTTTGTTCCAATGGGAATACTTTTTTGCTTTTTGTGTGCATTCTCTTCGTCCCCCTTTCTTGAGCCAGCATCTGCATTTGCATCCTGGAAAACAGAACACAGTACGTGGCAGGCATGGTGGCTAATTGGGAAATGAAACAAACCATAGCACATGGGCACCCTTAAAAAGAAAGAATCTAAAAACACCCCCCAGTTAGTACGATGTCTAATCCATGGTAACAGATATATCAAGAATCATTAAAATGAGAGTTAATTGATACTCTTAAGATCAAGGGTATCACTGACCATATTCTCATCTTCTTTTTCTTTGCCATCTTCATTTTCCTTGGATGTTTGGTATGAAAAATCATCATATGTGCGAAATTCCAAAAACAAGATGGTGGGGGGAAAAAGAATTCCCATGATAACCTATGAATGATGAGAAATGAATCCATTATAAGCTTTGGAAATTCTAGAAAAATTTCTCTAGTACAGTTGTCCCTCAAACTCCATGGGAGTTTGGCTCCCACAAAGATACCAAGACCCACAGAGGCTCAAATACCTTACAACAAATGGTGTAATATGCATAAAACCTATGCACCTCCTCCCTTATACCTTACATCATCTTTATGGCTTACAATAATTAATACAATGAAAGTGTCATGTAAATAGTTGGTATGTTGTATTTCACAGGGGAAAATGACAAGAAAAAACTCTGCGTATGTTCAATAAAGACAAATTTTTTTCTCAAATATTTTCAGTTTGAGTTGTTTTGATTCATGGATGCAAATCTTTCAGGCAAGGTAAGGAGGACTGATCATATAGTTAAAATTTTTAAATTATAACTTTCGACACTAGTCAGTAACCTAAGATCTCTGTATCATGTTTATCTCTGCTCTGGTGTTGTATGCCTTGTTGTGTTTTGTACACTGGTAGAATTAAAGACAGTGAAAAATTTAAGACTATTCATTAAATTTTAGATAAATGGTAAGCAGCATCATGCATAATCCTGACTTTAAAAAAGTAAAATTCTTATATTAAGTTTCAGAGCAAGTGAATCAAGCTGGGATGTAGCTCAGTGGTGGAATGGTTACCTGCATGAGGCCCTGGGTTTGATCCCCAGCACTGCGTGAAACAAGTAAGGTAAGCAAATCTTTAAATTAAAATAAAATAGTATAAACAAATAAAATATACTAATAACTAGTGAAGTAGACTATAAGTATTTTATGTAGAAATAACTTCAACATATATAGGAATATGTGAAGAAAATTGGAAGGCTAACGTGACTCAAAGAATAAGACTTAATTGAGCTCAGCCTGGACAATAAGAGGATATTCTGGCCCACAGATAGAGAACTCATTGGCATTTATATCAATGTGTTTCTACACTCTACCAATTGCTCAAATCATCCCAAATTTGAATTTGAATCATATAGAACCTTTACATTGTGTGTATTTTTTGTTTTTTCCTGAAAGTTAGACTCCCCTTCTATTTTCTTGTTAAGAATATAAATGGGTTTTTGTTTCCTTAACCTATATCCCTGATACTTTGTGGCTCTTTAATCATTCAATCTATTTATTGGGGTCAATTCTATTCTTTGTGGGTTTTTTTTGGGGGGTGGGGTACTGGGACTTGAACCCAGGAGCACTTTACCACTGAGCTATATCCCAAGCCCTTTTTCATTTTTATTTTAAAACAGGATCTCACTAAGTTGCTTAGGGCCTAAGATGCTGAGGCTGGTCTTGAACTTGCAGTTCTCCTGATTCAGCCTCCTGAGTTGCTGGGATTACAGGTGTGCACCACCATGCCTGGCTATTTTTCTTGAATATTTTCTTCTTGGGTTCTGCTGACACTTTGTATTTATTTACTCTGACTGCCTTTCTCTCTGCTGCATGGGTTTAATATGGGAATTTGTAAAATGTGGGACTTGTTTCTTCCATTTCACATTGCTTTCTTTTCTTTTCTTTTTTGTGGGGGTGGCAGTGGTACTGGGGATTGAACTCAGGGGCACTCAACCACTGAGCTCACACTCCCAGCCCTAGTTTGTATTTTATTTAGAGACAGGGTCTTACTGAGTTGCTTAGCATCTCACTGTTGCTGAGGCTGGCTTTGAACCTGCTATCCTCCTGCCTCAGTCTCCCAAGCTGATGGGATTACAGGCGCACACCACTTCGCCCAGCCTCACATTACTTTCTTTACTTATAATATTGTTTTAGTCAGCTTTTCTGCTCAAGTGACCAAAAAATCCTGAAAAGAACAATTTTGGAGGAGGAAAATTTTATTTGACGCCTCACAGTTTCAGAGGTCTCAGTCCATAGAAAGTTGGCTCCGTTGCTTTGGGCCTGAGATGAGGCAGAACATCATGGCAGAGAGTGGTGGAGAAAAGCAGCTCAGGACATGGCCACCAAGAAGCAGAGGGAGAGCTGTGCTCACCAGGTATAAAATGTATATTCCAAAGTCATGTCCACAGTGACCTACCTCCTTCAGCCACACCCTACTGGTCTATAGTGCTACCCAGCTAATCCAGTCAAGTGGATTAATGCATTGATTAGGTTAAGGCTGTCAAACTCTATCATTTCATCCCTAAACTCCCACATCTCACATATGAGCTTTTAAGGGACCTCATATCTAAACCATAACAAATATTTAACTTTTTTCCCTAGAATACCAGCTGAAGTAATTTTCTGAATGGGGATGTACAAAGTATAGAATGTGAATCTTTTCCTTTTTATTTTTATTTTTTAAAAATTTTGTAGTTGTAGATGGACAGAATGCCTTTATTTTATTTGTTTATTTTTATGTGGTGCTGAGGATTGAAACCAGTGCCTCACACATGCTCGTCAAGCGCTCTACCACTGAGCTACAGCCCCAGCTCTGAATCTTTTCCTTTTTAAAATAGATATTCTGTTCTCATCTTTTTATTTATTTTTTAAAATTTAGTTTTGCAGTGTTGGGAATTAAATCCAGGGTCTCATGCATGCTAAGTGAGTACTGTACCACTGAATTACAATCCATGGCCCCTTTTATCTGTTTTAAATAGCTGGACCATTTTAAAAAAAAAAAAAAAATTCAGCTTCTGAACATTTCCCCATCAGAACTGTCAAGGTCTTGTTTTACTGCCACCATCTAGAGTTCAGTATTATTGGTGAAAACTGTGATGTCAATCTGATATTCATAACTTTGTGTGTGACCTGTTTCTTTAAAACCTATAGGATTTCTATATTTTTAGTATTCCAAAAACTACTTGTTTACTAATATTCAAAGTTATGTATAATCAGCTTAGTGTAGAAATGGACAGTTAGGCACAACATTCATATTTCTAAGAAACAGAATACCTTCCATTTGCTAGAACTATGCCATGAAGTATAACATACAGGTTGAACACCCCTAAAATCTGAAATGCTTCAAAATCTGAAACTTTTTGAGTGCTGGTTACAAAGTGGAAAATTCCACACCAGACTTCATGTGATATGTCACAGTCAAAATGCAGGTGTACTAATAATATTGCATAAAATGGCCTTATATGTATAAGGTATGTGTGAAACATAAATGAAGTTTATGATATCTCACTATGTATAGACAAATATTCCAAAATCCAAACCAAAAAAAAAAAAAAAAAAAAAAGAAGAAAGAAAGAAAAATCTAAAACACTTCTTGTCCCAAGCATTTGGATATAGGATACAACCTGTATTGGTTTTTTTTTTCTCTTATTATAAAAATCCCATAAAATAGGTACAATATTACCATTAGATAGTTGGGGGATACCCTAAGATTAGAGTCTCTTCTCAAGATAACCTAGTGTATAAGAGTAGTAAACACACAAGTAGGGTTTGATTGCAATATGATTTTATCCCCACTGCATCACTGCATGCTTTTCAAACCTTTTCACAGCTTTGTATTCTCTCACAAGCCCCATATAATAAAAATGTTACCAATTAAAGTAACAGCACACAGTTTTAGAGTTTGAGGGACTCTATAGAAGTCAAGCTAAGGTCCTTGCTTTAATGGTAGGTAGATGACCTGTCTAGGGTGCATGACTAATTATGGTGGGTAGCAGATGAAGGCATTGCTTGTGTTAGGGAGATCTGTAAGCCAGCTATGTTGGTTAGGTGAGACTCTGGCATTAGCCCACATGGGTTCAGTTTCTTTGTTGATCCACTAAGATCTAGGAGAGTTATCTAATCTCAAAGGTTCAGGTTTCTTATCTGTAAGACAAGGGTTGTCACATCATCTCTCTCATGGGGTTACTCAGAGGTATATAGTAGTTCCCCTTATCATGAGGGATATGTTTCAAGAACCCCTGTGGATGCCTGAAACTCTAGATGGTACTGAACCCTATATATTCTGTTTTGATTATAAGACTGCAGTATTGCCATATAGTACCAGACCTAAACTGTCCTTCTGTGTTTTATGCCCTGGTGCCTCCTTTGCATCACTATTCTTGCTCTTCAAAGCCATTATTAAGTAAAATAAGGGTTACTGGAATGCAAGCACTGCAAAGCTGTGACAGTTGATCTGATAACCAAGATAGCTACTACTGATTTTGTTTACAGCGTGGATACACTGGACAAAGGAAGGATTCCTTACTGGGTGGGATGGAGTGGGATCATGAGAGATTTCATCACAGTAATCAGAACAGTGAGTAATTTTAAACTCATGAATAGGATCTGGGGATGAAGTTCAGTGGTAGAGCATTTGCCTGGCATGTGTGAGGTCCTGGGTTCAATCCCTGGCATTGAAAAATAATACCCCTCACCCCAATTATGAATTACTCATTTCTGTAGTTTTCCATTTAATATTTTTGGATTGTGGCTGACTTCAGGTAACTAAAACCTAGGAAAGCGAAATTGGACCAGTGTGACTACTGTAAATGAAATAACTCACAGGGTGCTTAGCTCTGCCTCAGGGAGAGTCAGAGCTCAACAGATGTCATTTAATCACTGTCATCTGGGCAGTCTAATGGCCATGGCACACATACCTTCAGGCCAGGGTTTTTCCTCATTCGAAGCCTTCCCATCCACATGTCAGTCAGTAGCATCTGACTGCAGGTGTGAGCGATAAAGTCCCGGTGTTTGGCCGCCACAGCCAGTTTGAGGCAGGTTGAATTGCTCCAGTTTTTTAGCTCATAGGTCAGCAGTTTCATGGCAATCTGCTCATCATGCTTATAGGACTGGTCTAACAACTCCACAGCAAGCTGGCCAAAGTCTCTGGAGTTAAAGAGATGGAATTGGGTGTGAAGCTGCAGTGGCCACAGGATTTTTCTTAGATAGATGTGGTCACAAGGGCACAGGGAGGCACAGAACACAGAATCTACAATTAGAAGGGACTTCATTGTCCTCTAAAAGCAAGGATCTCTTGAGATTTGTCCTTAGAGGAGGACAGCCAGGGCCAGGGGCTCTGTGCTCAGTCAGGATGGGGAATGACTGCTCTTGCTGCAAATAGAGCTTTAGGTTGACTCCAAGACTGCCCATCAGGTCCCAAGGACACAAAGACAAGGAGACAAAGTCTATTTCCTCAAGTTGTGCACAGATTAGGGAAGCAGACAGAACAGACAGCAAAGGCAAGTTCAGAAACAGGACTTGTGGGGTTATAAGTCAGAACAGAGGCTGTTCTTGGGGGTGAAGAATAGGGAGGAAGGTGGACATTGAAGGGGACACCAGGAAGCTTGCTGGTGCCTGTTAGGTTCTGTTTCTTAATCTGGGTGCTAGTGTGAACAGTTATCAAGCCATACATTTTATATATGTGTGTGTGTGTGTGTGTGTGTAATGATTCAATAATGCATTGAATGAAAGAGAATTCAGGACTGGGAAAATAGCTCAGTGGTGTAGTGCTTGCCTAGCATGCATGAGGACCTGGGCTCAATCCTCAGCACCACCACCACAACAAAAAGAATTCAACATTGTCAGTGCCATGACAGACACAAAGCATATTTCTCATAGGGCTCAGAACAAAGGAAAATTTTCACAGAGCCCTAACTGCTAATGAGAGGACAATGATAGAAGTTGAGGAGGCATGGAGAAGATGACACAAACTGAAATATGGAACATAGAATTTATTCCCTTTCCCACAGGGCCTTAATTTAAATATTTAATTATAGCCATAATCTTTGCTCATTTCTATGACCTTCTGTTGTGGACTTTGGTAAAGCTATGGCCACACAGTGATCACTCTGTTTTTGTTTTTCCATCTGATAGGGGATTTTATTGCAATTATGAGCTTAAGGATGAATATAGCAGAATTATGTATGGGGAGTAGCCTTCCTTGTTCCTTGAAGAACAATGCTGTCACAGTACCTCCTGAGTCCTATGCATTACCCTGGAAGCAAGGGGTGAATGTGTCCCCATTTTTAAATGGTCTTGAATTCCTCATATTTAGGAATTGGCTAGTAAGTTTAGAAATCACCAAATCCAAAACAAAAGCCACAGGTTTCAGAAAACAAAGATGTTAGATGTTGGCAGAGCTGTCTGTGTCTGTGTCTGTTCCAAATTTTTGTGCCTATAAAAAAGTCCCAGTTGTCCTGGGACTTCAGATCTCCAGTCTGGCGTGTAAGGAATTTGGAAGTGGCTAGTCTATCCTAACAAGAAAAGTCAGAATGAACTGAAAAATCAACATTTCTTTTCAGTTCCATCAGAGAAGAGAGGTCATGGGGAAGTCTGCTGTACCCAGAACTGGAGGGACAGACAGGCAAGTACAAGAATCATTGTTTACTGGAGCAGAAATGTCTGTAGGAACCAGAACTGGGGTGTGAACCATGAGTTGTAACTGATGAATTGCTGGAAACTCAGTGTGGACAAGTTCAGAAGTTAAAAACCCCAGGGAAACCCAGAAATACGAACTTCTGTGAGTTTTACATCCGGGAGACTGACCAGGTTCTCACAGTACATAAAGGAGAAAAATCTCCTAGTGTTTCCATCACAGAGAAGGAAAAAGAAGCCATTTTGAGATATGCTTCTGCCCTGGTCCTCAGAAGTAAGTAGTCAACAGAGCCAACTCTGCTGGGCTCTATTAGAAATTAACCTACATGGCAGATAAGCAATACCCAACTCCAATCCTCTTTAATATCTCCTCTTGCTAAGCAGCTCTTGTGACATTCATAGTTGAAGGCACAGGTGCACTAAAATTGTATACCCCATCAATGTGTGTTTCTTCATGGAAATTCGTTTCACTGTTTTTGCATTAGAATTGGGTTTCAATAATTTTCATGAGAAGGTAATAACCTAAAACAGTGACAGCCCAGAAATACCCCAGAGATAGAAGGAAAAATACTAATGTGATGGGCAAAGCAGTTTACAGACAAGCGTTGACTATAAACATGTTTAAGTGAGAAAATACAATGATCACCCTCCCTGCAAAGGGGCAGTGTTCAGGACAACCGTTTCTCCTGACCCTGAAATTTCCTCTAGACACTAACTTGGAATTGTTGTCCAAGTCCTGGGAGATGTCATCCACCAGCTCGCTCTCGGAGGACTCATGGGCCATGGCCTTGTAGAGCTTGCAGGCCACCAAGGCTTTCGCCATGCATTCTTCCCCTCGCTGCCAGAGGAAGACTGCCATTTTCTGGCGTTTCATCAGCACGGCCCACACCATCAGCTCGTGGAAGGGGTACTGGAATCGACTCATGGCGGGGTCGTCCACATCAATGTCGACCTCTTCCTCTTTTTTCTTCTTTTTCTTTTTCTTTCCTTTGGCTGGAGGCTCATCATCCTGAAGGGAGGAAAAACACATTTTTTTTTCCATGTTTTTTCCTAAATGTGCAATAAAGGGTTCAGAACTACGGCAGAGAGGGAACCCTTTATGTCAGAGGTAATAAAGAGACTCCTTCAGCACAACTCAAGTATCCACTCAGCATGTTCATTTTTTTAAAAAGATACACATTTATTATAAGTAAACCATCTAAAACCAAATAAGCTGAGAAGAAACATTGCTGTTTGCATAACTTTTACCCCTGGGTTAGTAGGGTTTTAAGAAGACTTTAATGAGGCCATGCAGCAAAACTCAAGCAAAAATGAAATGTAAATAGCATCATGGAACAGGTAAAGACCACAGTTTATTTTTTCAGGGAAGTCATGCAATGCAGCAAAACATTAACATTCATTTGCAGACATAGCTGAATCAGAAATTAATATAAAAATGCAAAAAGGGACAGAGGCAAATGTTTTAGGTTTCGCTCCAATGTTTTAAGAAAGCAAACATTCCATTTTGAATGAGCACTGTCCTTTCCCCCATGTGGTGCAAACAAAAGGCCAACATTCCATTTCCTAAAGGGATTAGGAGAATGTTTCTGAAAGTGGAGCAAGCAAGCTCTGTAGGAAAGGCAGGTCAGGCTTGAGGAAACTGCTTGGAAGTCTGAGGTTTCAGCCATTTCAGGTTAAGACTTAGTACTCAGTGGAATGACAGAAACAGATACAATACCCCCAAGGTTGCATGTTTGTATTTAACCAACCTTGGACTGAAAATATTTGGGGAAAAAAAAATGCATCTGTACTGAACATGTATAGACTTTGTTGTTTCTTGTCCTTATTTCCTAAATAATAATGTATAACAACTATTTACACAATATTTACATTGTATTAGGTATTGTAAGTCATCTAGAGATGATATAAAATATTTGGAGAGGATGTATGCAGATCCTATGGAAATACCACAGCATTTTGTATAAGGGACTTAAGCATCTGCAGATTTGATATCCTCAAGGGATCCTGGAACAAGTCCCCTACAGATACTGAGGGATGATTGTATTTGCTATTTTGTACAGGCTTTCCAATCAATTATTATTATTGTTTTTTGTTTGTCTTTTCAGTGGTTTTGAGGATCCAACCCACCCCCTGGTACATGCTAAGCAAGCACTCTACCACCCAGTTACATCCCCAGCCCAATTATGTACTTTTATTCTTACAACGACTCTGAAAGGTTATGAATTCCTTCCATTCCCTCAGAGGATAAAATTGTGGCTCAAAGTCTGAAAAATTTCTCTACATTCACACAACTGGAATGGGATGGAGCCTTGGGGGACCCTGGGGAATGTGGTTCTTAATTCCTATCACAAGTTGTTCACCAATGACAGAGTTCTTATGAGTTATAGCATCTTGCCCCAGATTTCAATGTTTTTGTTCTAATTTTGTCAAAATAAAATACAGTCACAATAATTTAGGGAAGGTTGGTCTATATGGATTAAAAATTGGCATGATAGAAATTTAAAAACAGTTTCATGTTCAAGAATATATAAAATAAAAATCAACTAATGGTTAACAAAAGTTTTGAAACAGAGTCCTATAAACCTACTTTTCAATAATACCACACATTTTGTCAAAATATTAATTGTTTACTAATTTTCTTGAAATTATTGCCAGAAAGAGGATATAACAAACAAGGAGTGATTTTCCTAAAATGCAAAGGCCTGACACAAATTAATAAGGAAAATAATAACAACCCAATAAAATAACAAAAGACATGAACTGGAAGTATAAGGAGAAATTAATGCATCTATAATCGTAGTAAGAATCTTTAAACATATCTCACTTAGAAATGAGTTTGAAAAACAATAGTAAATATAAAAGCAAATCCAACAGAAGAATTACCAAGTTTGATTTGATGGATTAATATAAAAGCTGTACCCACAGAGTTTCATAAAAATCAACCAGGCATTACACCCCAATTCCTTTAAGATTTCCCCCGAAATACCAGAAAGCATTATTGTTATTTTTTGTTTGTCTTTTCGGTGATGTTGAGGTCTACATTCAAGGAATAAAATTAGAAATCAACCACAGAAAGATAATGACAACAGTCAGTATCTGGAAAATTGAAACTTTTAAATAACTCTTGAATTGCAGAGAAAATTATAAGCTTTTTAGAAGTAAATGGCAATGAAGGTTGCTGCCCATACTCACTCATACCTGTGGGATACCATGAAAACAATGCCCAGGTAAAAATTTATACCTTTAATGCATTTATTGGAATATAGGGAAGAGTAGAAATAAGTGACTTGACTTTCAGACTGAATCAATAAAAGCAACACAGTAACTCTAAAGAAAGTTCATGGTAGGAATGAATAAAAGTAAAAGCAGACATTAACAAAATAGAAACAGAAAAAAAAAGTTGCTTGATAAGGCAAAGATACCAAGAAGATAATTAGGCAACTTTGGTTAAGG